GCATACATAAATTCCATATTAAACCAATCATGTAAACTTATTTATTTAGAATTAAATAGAAACGTTGAGTAGGATTAGAAAACAAGTCATAATTATATTAAAGTGCACACCTTTAAAACTAAAATTTAACTAACTGTTTAAAATGACCATAATTTTATCAAAATCTAACGATTGATCACGATCATTTTTCAACGACTTTTTGATCATAATTTGATGTTGAATTGTTTGCAGGGTCAATTCTCAACGTTGAAAAATGACCCAGTGTCAGATCTCAACACTGAAAAATAACCATTGGAGTAATTTTCAACAGGGTGAAAATTTAATGTAACGGCGGTGCTAATCGTTTTTATGCCCGTGTAAAACAGATATCTAATTTACAAATTATCATCTATTTTCGATTTTTGGAAATTTAAATTTTACTTTTAATTGAAATACTTCTTTAATATAATTACCTAAAACATTAAATACTGCCCATCTGTTCGCAATGACGATTAAATAATTGAACAGGACGAAATCGCCAGCATATTTCTTTTTCTTTTTTTAAAAAAAAGTACTTATAATTCATTATTTCGATAATATTCTTAGTTCAATCTCAATATAATTTTAAGATACTAATAAAGCATATTCAAAGACGATCAAACGGGCTATACAAACCTCCCAAAATGTGGACAAACTTTGTTTAAATTTCGGGAAAAAATATTTATTTATTAAATATTCAATGATGTTATATTCGCACAGTAGAATATTACACTTTTATTTCTTGTATAATTTATTTATTTTTGTCGATCAGTTTTCAAATACCGGTGTATTGAACTAGAAAATAATCATTGCAGTAACGTATGGTTGTCTCAATTTGGACTTTTTAATGTCACTCGTATATTATTGGAATTTAGTATTAAGACTCATTTTGAATGCCATTTAAAAAGTTTTCAAATGTTAAGAAGATAATTTTAGTAGATTTTGAAGGTAATGATCAATAACTAAAAGCCTATACAGTTTAAGCCAGCTAGTGTATATATTTTTTCTGTGGAATAAAAGTTTATTATATTTCTTTAGTCATCGCTTAAATTTCTTCGAAGTTTTAATGCTAATGAGCGTTAATTTCCAGGTAACAAGTGATAATATAAAAACTGAATTTTCAAACATTCATTACCAGATAACAAGTGGTAATTGCAATACTTAATGTTCAAACTTACAATCCTATATCATGCTTTTATTATGTATCACAATCACTTTATTTCTTTAATCTTATCTAAAATGTTTAAAAAATCAGCTGTCATTTTTAAACTTTGCGACGTAACTTAATGTAACTTAATGTATGATCAATAAAAAACAAATAAAGATTATGGAAAACATTAATCAGCTACGGTTATGAATTTTTTTTTTCAAACAGATGTGGGCAAACATTAAAGGTCATTTCGTTAATAAATATTCCTTTCGGATAACTCATTCGGAATGCATCGCCGAAATTAGACTGGTCCCCTGCGAACTTCTAAAAAGTACATCTTGGATGGGAACCATAATAGGACAGGGAACCAGATTACGCCGAAATATGACGGAAAAGACCAAGAAGATGCGAACTAGAACGGCTATTATCCATAATAATCCGAAGACTGACGGAAAGGGCCGAGTAGTTGCGATTGCTAGAACGGAAGTAACCGAACCGTAGTATCGACCTTGACCCTCAAAAGCAAAACACTGCTGAAGTATCAGTGAAAGAAATGTGAAATGGCAACAAGAGTTGTTGGTGCCACTATTCGGGCAGTCTCGAAGAAAAGGACGATGATCCCGACAAAAGCACCACTTATTTTGGTATGAAATTTCTCAGTTAAACAATGATTTGCATAAAAATGCCATTTGTCACGTTCAAACTCTTGCGTAATAGTCTGATTGTCATTGTGCATGTTTGATGGGTGGGGTATTTATACAAAATTTAGTTAAGACAGTAGATTTTCATTTATGTAATCATTTTCTCGAGATACAGTCCACATTGTAAGCAAAAATATCTACATAAAACTTTGTGACTAAGGCGCACTCCCCTCACCGTCGTATTAAAGCCAGATTTTGGTTACTATACTGGTGCCTCATATTTCCGTGGTACCCATATTTCCAAGGTATCAGGCTTAAACCGGTCCTACTAAACACTGCTAAGGACTGCTAAGGACCGCTAAGGACTGCTAAGGAGCCACAAAGGACTACTAAAGAGGCACAAAGGACCTTAAAATACCTCCTAGGCCATTCTCCTATATTACATGGTATTATTTTTAGTGAAAAAAAATTATAATTTTAAGAAAAATATGATTTTGGTGAAAATTTTATGAGTTGTCGGACCGCTAAGGACTGCTCAGATACACAAAAGACTGCTAGGGAGGCACAAAGGACCTTAAAATGCCTCCTAGGGCATTCTTATAATACAAGGTAGTATGTTTAGTGACAAAAAATGTATAATTTTAAGGAAAAATATCATTTTAGTGATAAAATTTATGTTTTTGAAGAGTTGTCGGACCGCTAAGGACTGCTCAGGTGCACTAACAACTGCTAGGGAGGCACAAAGGACCTTCAAATCCCTCCTAGAACATTCTTATAATATATGGTAGTAAGTTAATAGACAAAAATGTATTATTGTAAGAAAAAAATATAATTTTGGTGATAGAATTTATGCTTTCGATGAGTTGCCGGATCGCTAAGGACTGCTCAGGTGCGAAAAGGACTGCTAGGGACCTTAAAATATTTCCTAAGGAGGCACAAAGGACCTTAAAATACCTGTAAGGGCATTCTTATAATACATGGTAGTATGTTTAGTGATAAAAAATGTATAATTTTAAGGAAAAATATCATTATAGTGATAAAATTCATGTTTTTGAAGAGTTGTCGGACCGCTAAGGACTGCTCAGGTGCACTAACAACTGCTAGGGAGGCACAAAGGACCTTCAAATCCCTCCTAGAACATTATTATAATATATGGGTAGTAAGTTAATAGACAAAAATGTATTATTGTAAGAAAAAAATATAATTTTGGTGATAGAATTTATGTTTTTGATGAGTTGCAGGACCGCTTAGGACTGCTAGGGAAGTACAAAGAATCTTAAAATACCTCCTAGGGGCACAAAGGACTGCTAGGGAGGCACAAAGGACATTTAAATACCTCCTAGGGCATTCTTATAATATATGGTAGTATGTTTAGTGAGAAAAAATGTATAATTTTAAAAAAAATATAATTTTGGTGATAGAATTTATGCTTTCAATGAGTTGCCGGACCGCTAAGGACTGCTCAGGTGCACTAACAACTGCTAGGGAGGCACAAAGGACCTTAAATTACTTCCTAAGGCATTTTTATATTATATTGTAGTAAGTTAATAGATAAAAAATGTATTATTTAAAGAAAAAATATAATTTTGGTGATAGAATTTATGTTTTCGATGAATTGGAGGACCGCTAAGGACTGCTAGGGAGGTACAAAGAATCTTAAAATACCTCCTAGGGGCACAAAGGACTGCTAGGGAGGCACAAAGGACATTTAAATATCTCCTAGGGCATTCTTATAATATATGGTAGTATGTTTAGTGAGAAAAAATGTATTATTTTAAGAAAAAATATAATTTTGGTGATAGAATTTATGTTTTTGATGAGTTGCCAGACCGCTAAAGACTGCTCAGGTACACAAAAGACTATAAGCGAGGCCCAAAGGACCTTAAAATCACTCTTAGAACATTCTTATAATATATGGTAGTATGCTTAGTGACAAAAAATGTATTATTTTAAGAAAAAATTTAATTTTCGTGATAGAATTTATGTTTTTGATGAGTTGCTGGACTGCTAAGGAGAGCTCAGGTGCGCAAAGGACTGCTAGGGAGGCACAAAGGACCTTAAATTACTTCCTAGGGCATTTTTATATTATATGGTAGTATGTTTAGTGAGAAAAAAGGTATAATTTTAAGAAAAAATATAATTGTGGTGATAGATTTTATGTTTTCGATGAGTTGCCAGACCGCTAAGGACTGCTCATGTGCGCAAAGAACTGCTGGGGAGGCACAAAGGACCTTTAACTACTTCCTAGGGCATTCTTATAATATATGGTAGTATGTTTAGTGAGAAAAAAGGTATAATTTTAAGAAAAAATATAATTGTGGTGATAGATTTTATGTTTTCGATGAGTTGCCAGACTGCTAAGGACTGCTCATGTGCGCAAAGAACTGCTGGGGAGGCACAAGGACCTTAAACTACTTCCTAGGGCATTCTTATAATATATGGTAGTATGTTTAGTGAGGAAAAATGTATAATTTGAAGAAAAAATATAATTGTGGTGATAGATTTTATGTTTTCGATGAGTTGCCAGACCGCTAAGGACTGCTCATGTGCGCAAAGAACTGCTAGGGAGGCACAAAGGACCTTAAATTACTTCCTAGGGCATTCTTATAATATATGGTAGTATGTTTAGTGAGAAAAAAGGTATAATTTTAAGAAAAAATATAATTGTGGTGATAGAATTTATGTTTTCGATGAGTTGCCAGACCGCTAAGGACTGCTCATGTGCGCAAAGAACTGCTAGGGAGGCACAAAGGACCTTTAGTTACTTCCTAGGGCATTATTATAATATATTGTAGTAGGTTTATAGATAAAAAATGTAATATTTTAAGATAAAAAATAATTTTGGTGATAGAATTTATGTTTTCGATGAATTGGAGGACGGCTAAGGGGCACAAAGGACTGCTAGGGAGGCACAAAAGACCTTAAATTAATAAGTATTTGAGTATAGTAATTCTATTTAATTTTGTTTAGTGATCTTTCTATTTTTATGTATTTTGGTGTTGATTATTATGTTTTGGATGAGTAACAGGACTGCATAGGATGTGAAAATTGACTAGGTCTTTAAGTAAATGCTCTTATGTTAAGTGGTAGGATACATATATAGAGGATATTGAATGAGTGTAGTTTAATACTAAATTTATTGAAAGAGTTGAATAAAATCATATTATGCGAGCTGTGGCGAGCATAATACTGTTTTATTCAATGAGTTCAATATTAATTTAGAATTGAATCTACACAAATATAATATTCTATTTATCACATATACAAAATAAGAACAGTGAACTGTTAAAATGAGTAATTCTACAATGATGCGCCGATAGTGTAACGCTATGTTTATATATAGCGCAAATGACGTCATGTCAAAGTGTTATTACACTAGTGTAATATCGTTTTTATTAAATGGCTTTATTACTCTCCTGCGCCGGGGTTTATGTGATAAAAATATATATATATAAATATTTTTTTTTAAGGAACTGAAGTGGACAGATGTAACAGAAATGAGCAAATGATTCTTTTTACAATAACACTAAACTTATCTTGTTCTTATGTTGTATGATATGGAAGTAGTTAGCTTTGCAACTGTACATAGAAATATTTCACACTAAAATTAAATAGAATAATCATAACAGAATGATAAATCTTATCAGGCTATATATTCACAGAAAACTATTAAAGTAGGATATATAGAATGTTGAAGTGACATTGTGGTTAAAATTAATCAATGGTTAAAACATAGATTCTTTAAGATCATTCTTTTTACTTCAATAAAAAACAAATCATCTATCCCAGCCCCTCATAAAACAGTGGGATAAGGATCCTAACTATATACATACAGATGGGGCTGGCACATTATTGGAAGTTAACAAGCTGTATATTGGGAGCTGTGTATTGTATATTGGGATGTGTGATATATTACAAACCAGTGGGGGTGCCAATATAGGGTGGTATACTTCAAAACAGTGGGAGGGACTTTCTGTTAGAGAATGCCTATTAAGTAGGCTGTAGATCAATAAAGTCTAAGGATCTATTGAACATCATTTTTTTATTGGCCAAATATATAGTCAATGAAAAAAAAAAAACCCAAAAAACAAATATATTTCACCACCCTGAATAAAGTATTTGTCTCCATATTCCAGCACATTGTCATATCACTTGACCAATATAATTATTATAAGAAATGGAAGAAGATCATAAGAAAAAGGATTTTAATATATGGTTATGACCCCAGTAATGAAAAAGTGATAATAATTAAAATTTGTTTGTAAACAAAGTCCTAAACAAATATTTTGACTCTATAAATTTAAATGAATGATCAGCTGTCCATTTATACTGAAACATTAACATAGAGAACTATCAATACTGGGAAATAATGAACTTATAACACTGAATCATAATAACATCTTCATATAATAATGTTACTGACGTTTCACATAAATAAAAATAAAATTTCATCAATTGGTAGTAATAAATTACAACAATTTAAAAGCAGATCTGTAAATTTTTTAATGAAAATTTTTATTTGTTGGTATTTACTATTTTAGTAAATAGAAATTCAAGCTTATGACAACTTATAATTTACTTCAGCCTGTATAATATCTATTTAAAACATAAATCTGATTATATCACTATATTATATTGTTTTGTAAATATATATAGAAAGTTACTGTCTGTATGATAATTTTCTTTAACACAATGGTAAAACATTATCTGGAAATAAAGAATCTTCCTTTCATTATCAATGTTCTTATTTAATTCAGAACAGTTCATTCAAATGTCTATGCAACTTTTCATTTTGAAATACAAAAAGAAAGGAACTCCTTGATCAAGGAGCTTGATTCTATGTATTTTTGCTGAAATTTGTTCTATTTGTTTACATTAATTGAACATTATGTACTATTTAAAGCAAATAAAGCTATTATCATTATATTAAAACCAAAATCCCAGGGACTATGAGATTTGAACATCTAGTGTAACATTTCCCCCAAAAATGTAACAAACGCCTC